CCTGATTATAAATGTGCAGCCCCAAAGGTAGGGTCTCCAATGCTTAACTGTTGTGACTAGACCAATTAATTCTCTTTCATAAGCTGCTAATTTAGCATGTCGTGGAGCAATCATGCGACTGAAGAAAGCGGTTGGTCCTGCTTCATGATGTAGCACAGCGCCAAATTCCACCGAAGAGGCATCGCATTCGACAATAAATGGTTTATTAAAATCGGGCTGACTAGAGTACCGGTGTTGTAGAGCGAGAACTATTTCAGCTTGCTCGAATCTCGTGTTGTTATCAATTCGGCCACAAACAGTCCTTTCTTAATAGCTATGTGAGAGGTCCAGCAATGGCGCCAAAAAATCTTTGATGGATTTTCTGTAGTATCCTACCAATCCTAAAATCCCTTGAGTTTGTTTCCTTTGTTGTTGGTTGGGGCCAAGAGGAGATAGCTTTGTATTTTCTCTTGGGTTGACCGCCACTCCTTGGTTTGATATAATGTGGCCTAAGTATTCCACCGTTGTTTGGCCAAATGAACATTTAGATTTTTTGAGATATACTGCACTCTTTTGAAGGATTGAGAATACCTTTTGTATGTGGTCCACATGTTGGTTCCAGGTTTTGCTGTAAATTAAGATATCGTCGAAGAAAACCAGGACAAACTTTTGGAGGTAGGGACCCAATATATCATTCATAAGTGCTTGGAACGTAGAAGGGGCATTGCACAAACCGAATGGCATAACCAGGAATTCAAAGTGGTCATGATGGGTTCGGAAAGCTGTTTTCTCAATATCATCTGGGTGCATGCGTACCTGGTGATACCCGGAGCGTAGGTCTCATTTAGTGAATAATTTGGCTCCTTCCAATTCATCGAGTAACTCATCAATGATCGGTATTGGGAATTTATCCTTGAGGGTGTTGTCATTGAGTGCTTGGTAGTCCACGCAAAAACGCCATGATCCATCTTGTTTTTTGACGAGTAGTACTGGTGATGAAAATGGAGAGGTGTTGTACCTTATGATGCCCTGTGCCAGCATATCCTGTCACCGTTTCTCTAATTTAGCTTTTTGGAGGTGCAGGCAGCGGTAAGGTCTAACAACTGTGGGTTTATGGGATCCTTCGGATGAATTCGGTGATCATATCGACGTTGGGGTGGTAGCCCTTGAGGATCCCGGAAGAGATGAGAAACTAGTCATTAGTGCCTCCATTGTTCTTTGTGGGACCGAGTGTGTGAAGCCGTGGGTTGATCGAGGTGCGGTTTGCCCAAACTGGTCCGGATGATTTGACGTCCATGGCGCCAAAATTTCATTGTGAGGTTGTTGAAATCCCATATGATTGGACCAAGTGAACTCAGCCAATTGACGCCAAGCAACAAGTCATACCCTCCCAATTTGATCTGCGTACAATCAATATTGAAGATTCGATGTCAATCTGCACTCGAGATTATTGTATATGCCCACATTAGAAATGCTTAGTCTTTGTTTGCTCATCATCGATAGGGAATTTGGTGCTCTTGTCCGTGGCGGTTGAAGGTCATCTCGTTTGTGTCGAGTCAATGAAATTGTGTAGATCCTAAATCCGGTAGTGCTAGGAAGTCACGGCCGTTGATGGAAATCATGCACCGCATAGTCGGGTCTGGTGGTGATCCTCGTGACGCCGTTGGTGATATCCGTATGTCGTGTCTTTCATTGCATAAGGAATGTGATAATTCTTTTTGTTTGTCCGATATATAAAATTTAAGAATTATTGCTATCATCGATTCCGCATCGGTGGTTGCTTTGAAGTTGTATGTCTATTTGCAATGTTGATGCCAGTCCCGCTATATAAAGCATAACTTCTTTGAAGCGGTGAGACAACCCCTGTTACCTTGGTTACCATGAGGAGGAATTGATTTGTGTAGTCATCCAATTCTCCCCGTCGATGATGGGTGAAGTAAGGTCGCCGAGGTGGTTGTGTTGTATTGGTGGGCCAAAAGCGCTTGTCAATAGCTCGAGAAAATTGAGGCCACGTTGGATGCCCTATTTCTTGTTCCCATCTAATGAACCAAGTTAGAGCGTTGCCATGCGGATGAAACGCCACTAGATGCATTCGTTCCTCCTCGGTATTCTAGGCGAAAAAAAAATTGTTGCATTTGTACAACCATTGTGAAGGTTCATCGTTCTGTTGTATTCGTGGAATGAGAATTTGTGGGAGTTTGATGATCACCTCATTGTTGTTGATCTGCTTTACGGAAATCCTTGTTGAGCTAGGATTGGAGGTGCCTCAATGAAGTGGTCTGCCGCGATGTTGGTCGGCTCGGGTCGTGAAAGCGGATTCTGGTCCGGTGGAGGAGTCGGTAGTATGGATCGTTTGAGAGTGGCACATATTTATGTTCTTCCTCCTGATTGGAGAAAAAATCAAATATTTTTTCCAAATGATCGGTGATATCGTTGATGCTCTCCATGGAGTTGATGACGACGTGGCTCTGAATACCAGATGTAACACGCCTGATGATCCCCAACTGTTGCAGGATCGGATGGGGGCCGATCTGAGGGGTTGGGCAACGACGCGTCTTTGTGTGGCCGTCCGGCTAAGGGTAATAGCAACAGCTTGGCTGCTGTGGTCGGCAGCCTGGCAGGGAGAAGCGGTGGCCTAGCTGGAGAAAAGGCGGCGGCTGGGAAGAGAAGAGAAGGTTAGGCGCAAGGAGAGAAGGGGAAGGAAGAAGGGATAAAGGATTAACTCTAAATTTGCTTAGTTTCTCATTAAGTGTCTCCCTCGTATATATAAAGGGGTTACAATCACTAATAGGCCTGGCCCAATAGCCTAACTTCTCTGTTAAGGCTAAATTATAACAAATCGCCCTATTGCCCTTTACTAGCCACTAACTGTAGACTTAGGATGTTGCCTCCTCCTAGCGTGGGTCTTGCCGATCATGACAGGTTACTCCTGCTTACTTGTGCTGTTCCTGGTTTTCCTTAAACCTGCTTGGTTGCTTAAAGGGTCTGGCTGTATGGGCTCAACAGTTAGTGCTCACTTGTATGTATTTAATTAAAGCTTAGATTTCTAGTTAAGTAAGCACATCTCTTGCAATGTAAAAAAAGGCACATCTCGCAGTTTCAGGGCTTTGTGCCATCTTGTGGCAAGATCGGCCGTCGGTAACTATGCATGCCGATGGGCTGATCTTTCAGCCAGTTCCGTTGACGGGCCTCAAATGTTGCTTGGCAGAGAATTCAGTGAGAAATGTGACTGGTTATGCTCAATAATTCCCATAGTTTCATTGCATTTCAGACCCGGACAATGGTGATTGCAATCTCACTATAACACAGATAGATCGCTAATAGAGATGACAGCACGATTCAAGACCCAGATCATAATGCATTCCGATTAATTCAAATATCCGACATCAGAATACCATTTATCAAGAGCAATACCATTCATCAACAACAACGTAGTAAGAACAACCGTTTTCCCACCTGACAAATGTTCAGATGAATGAAAACCATAGTTGTTTGATTCCATTTCCTTCTAACTCTGAAGGGCTTTGGCTGTGGTACTAAATGACTATGAGCCGTTCATTGATTTCGATAGGACCGTCACGATGAACTAGGTAATAGATGAAATGTATATTTATTTATTCTTTTATTTTATAAAATAGGATAAATAAGGAAAGTTTTAGATAGAAAAATATTTTTTCTAGATTTGATTGATGCATCGTGATCTCTGATTGATATGGTAAATCTTTTTTATTTTATAACTTTTACTTGATATATTTCGATTACCATATGATTTTGTATGTGTTAGGATTTGCATATGTGTACGTGATTAGCGTGTGTGGTTAGCCTGTATGTAGCGTGTGTGTACGCGGCTAGCCTGGTTAGTCTGGTTAGCGTTGTGTGGTGAGCGTGTGTGTACACGTGGTTAGCCTGGTTAGCGTGTGTGTATACAAAGTAATATGAATCATTATATGCAGTGGGCGGAGCTAGGGAACTTTCACGACTAGGGCCAATATTATGAACCACTAACACCAGATCACATGTTAATGGACAAAAGTAATGCTAGTATATAGATTTAGGTGGAAAAACAAAAGGATTACTCTAATGTTTTTTCTCACGCCTTAGGACATGGCCATACTGGCCCTAACCTTATATCCATACATTGATTATATGTTGAAATAGATTTAATATAAAAACATATTTTATAGTTATTCGATGATACTTACTCAACGTCATAAGTATAAGTTTGATCAAGTTTGAATTTATTTGACTCCCAAGAAGTGACAATATTTTTTCTTGACCAAGAGAAATCAAATATGTGTGAAATCGAATTTGGATAGCACCATTTAATCGATTTTAATTCGAATTCATATGAAAATGATCATTGCAATAGGCCCAGGATAACGTCTCAAATTTTCGGCACGTCTCAAATTCATACGAAAATTATCAAATTTGCGCGCACGGAGAGGAAACAATCGCTTCCGTATCTGCCGCGTGATTAGTCCGTGATTAACTGATTAGGGGGAGTCGGCAAGCATGTGAGGAATCGGCATGCATGTCCTCCCGTCATTAGGGGGATGGTCAGGTTTTATTTCATTTTCCTGGATTTTTTAATTTATTAAGTACTTTATATAATATGAAAAATCAATGGCTAAGATTGATTTGAAATATTACCTCCTCGGAGGTAAAGTTTGTACCTTAGCATTGCCCAACTCGGAATAGAGATTACAGGTTACAAATATCTAAACAGGTATGGTGAAAGAATGGAAAGTAAAAATAATAATATGATGTATTGTAACTGGAGACATCCATATACGCTGTGAGCTTCCTGCCAACATCTACAACTCCTTTCCTTCTTCTACATTATGCAGCTAACTTTTGCAGGAAAGACTCAGCAGCCAAAAGAATAAAAGAATTACAACTACTAACAATTGAATCTTTCATCCTATCACCTATAAAAACAAAGCTACAAATCTTTCTTTCTCCTTTGTTTTTTTTTTTGTTCTTCTGAATGTATAAAAAGAATTGTCAGACTGTATAATGAACTAACGAATGATCACTAACAGCAAAAGAACCACTGAAAAACCCTGTTCTTTTTCTTCTTCACTTAACCTTGTGTGTCTTCCCCCATTCAGCTTTGCTGAGAATGGGATGCTGTGAGTGGACACGGACGCAGACACCGTGCTGCCTCCGCCACCGGCATCACTGACCGGCGTCCACGCGGACACGGTGTACATGGCCTGGTCCATCCACCGGAGCGTGAGCCCCTCGCCGTCGTCCTGCGCCTGCACGCTGTAGTTGCCAGGCGCGAACATCCCCTCGCGATCATGCGCCCCTGCATTGCCTCCCTGTCGCCGATGCCGGCGCTCTGGAACCAACCTTCCTGCGCCGCCGCCGCCACCCGGCGAAGGTCTCGTGCCGCTCGAAGCGGTCCCCGGCCTCGAACGCCACTGCGTTGCGGATCTCCGCGCGAACATCTCCTCCGCCTTGGCCCTCGCGGGCTCGTGTCCGCCAGCCCCGCCGCGTCCACGGCGTCGAACGCCGCGGCGTAGTACCGCAGCGCGCGCGAACCGCGCCTCCCAGCACCCGGAGTTAAGGGCGTCCTCGTGCTCGCCCAAGAGGAGGATGGCGGCGCCCGTGCTGCGCGCGAGCCCAAGGAAGTCGGCGATCGTGGCCCCCGTCTCGTTTCGGAGCAGGCGGTGCGCGCCGAGGACACAGTTCATGGCGATGCACTCGCCGCGCTTGACGTGGAGCATGCACAGGCGGACGTCCTCGAGGTGGTCCACCACGGCGTGGAACTCGAACGCGAGCCCGAGCGCGGCGGCCACGCACCCCAGCCACGCGCCGGTCTCCTGCAGCTCCTGCCTTGACTCACCGACGCTGGTGATCCGGACATGCGCGGGGGAACCGCGCGCGTGGCGAGGCTCTGGAGGAGGCCCGGCCACTGGAGCCCCTGCTTGATGTCGAAGTCGATGCGCGGTCGTGGCCGTCGAACGCGCGGAGCACCCGCTCGTTGAGGGTGAAGTGCAGGAAACGCGGGATCGGGGTGACGGCGTTGAGCACCAGCAGCGCCGTGGCGTCGTCGTCCTCGGCGACAGCGCCGTCAGTGAGCTCGCGCGGCGGGGCGACGTCGAACACGTGCGGCCACATGCGCACCACGCGCAGCGCCAGCGCCTCGGCGAAGTAGGCGGCCATGCGGTGCATCGGCGTGGGCCCCGCGGGAGAGGCCATCTCGCCCAGCCGCGCCAGGTAGTAGTTGGCAGCGTCGTGGTTGCAGGCGGCGAGGGAGTCGGCGCAGGCGGTGAGCGCGACGACCAGCTCCATGGCCTCCACCCGCGCCGCCGGGGCGCCGTTATGCGCGTGGAGCTGCTCCGGCCGGACCGCCGACGAGCCGCCGTCCGTGCCGCCCGACGAGGCCGGCGAGTTGGACGGCGACTTGCTGAACTCCTCCTTCTTGGCCGCGGCCAGCGACGGGCCCGCGGCGGCGGACGTGCCTTGGGGGAAAGCCGCGGCGCTCGGCACTAGGAAGACCTTCTCTTCCTCGGCTTCCTCTCCGTCCCCGGACCCCGCCGCTTGCACTGTCCCTGCAATGGATCGATGGAACCATACCTCATCTCCGTCCCCGCCCATCCTCGTCCGCTTGGCGCGAACGACGGGGGCGCCGTACTCCTCGCCCGCGTCCTCCCTCATGGGCCCGCTTAACGGCCCTGCTCTCCTCTCCCAGACAGCGCCGGCGCCATTGCCGCCAGGCTCCGGCTTGGCGCCCCAGGACACGGCCTGCGTGACCGGCGGCGCCGGGTGGGCGCGGAAGGAGCAGGTGGCAGCGCCGCCGCCGCCGGTCCTGGCGTCGGCCGCCGCGACGCGCGGCGCGGCGCCGGCGCCAGGGCCGTCGCCGCGGTTGGTCGCCCGCTTGGAGAAGCCGTAGGGGGAGGATGTCGAATCGCTGGGCGGTGCTCATCTGATGCCTCGACGACGAGAAGGAGAAACCAGCCAACATCCCGGAGACGTGGCCGGACGCGGTGTGCCAGAAGAGACCTACTCTCCTCCTCTGCTCTGCTTCGTCGTCTTGTTCGTGGATCTCCTCCTCTCTGACGATTCACTCCTCACTCCCTTTCACTGGTCTCCTCACTGTTTCTCTGTGCTATCTGGCTACAGCTAGAGGGATCTTTCTTTCCTTGTTTCTTTGTGAGGTGAGTTGCTGCTGTATATGAATGAATGAACGAATCGATGTACAAACGAAGAGGAGAGCTCGTTCTAAAACCAGAGGATCTTGTTTCTCGGAAGAAAGAATTTGGTCAGGTACTTCGTTTTTGGGTAGAAAAGAACAAATCAATGTCTATGACTATAAGAGATGGGTATGTGTATGTCAATGCTGTATATGCAGGAAAGAATGGGGATCAGTAGTACAAAAGAATCAAAGAATGTAGTATAGGAAGAAGAAACTGCCTAAAACATCTAGAAAAACCGGGCGGAAATGCCGGGGCGGCTCACCCTCTGCAGCAGAGCCCGCGCGGCATGCGGCGACGGCGGAACCCAGCCAGCTGCGAGCAGCGAACCCCAGCGCCTCCATTGCCCAAACGAAAAAAACAGAAGAAAAAACAAGAAATCTTTTGCGAGAAACCAGGAATCAGGGGATGATGAAGACGATCTAACTAACAATGCAACATTGGATGCGATGCAATGGCGATGGAGATCGAGATGGGGATGCAATGCGTGTTCCTATTCCTAATGGATGATCCTCCTACAGCTACTGATCCTCTTGCCTCACCATGAGCACTCTGTGGCTCTCCTCCTCTCCCACTCACTCTCACTATTCTGTTGTGGCTGGCTCTCGGACCTCTCTCTCTCTCTGTTGGAAGGGGGAGGGTGGGAAGGGAGAAGAAAGCCCCGGGCCAGGGGAAGCGAAACGGCCGTTCTGGCGGTGGCGAATCCCGAGACGCTGCCTGCGCCGTCGGATCCGGACCGGACGGCTGTGCTGCGCGTGCAGGGCGGGATGTGACCGTTGTGGGGGGTGCCTGCCCCGCCTGTGGTCAATGTGACCGTTGCCTCTGACGCCGTGTGGCCGTGCCCCGTGGAAGGCGTGAGGCGCTTGAGTATTTCAGGTGCGCGGCACGTGACGACCGGCTCGCCGCCCCCGTTCCTTGTTACCGTTGGGGCTCCACCCCCACACGCCGTCCACGTGGACAGCCGCGCGGGGCCCACGTGATCCGGCAGGGCCTGGCAGTGGACGGCGCGGGTGGGATGCGGCCGTTGTCGCCTGCGGCACCGCCTTTTTTTGTCCACGTGGGATGCTGACGCGGCGGGATGCACGCGTGTCGCGTGCCTGTGTTGTCTTGAATGCGATACTTGAGTTTGCATTTAGGGAAGCCAGTTGGAATATTTACGTGGTCGGTTTGGTACAGCCCGCCTTGCTAATCACAACTATAGCGTCAAAACGCAGCACTGTTTCCCTCTGTAGACTTTACATTCCAAATCCCATGGTCTGCTGGTACTAATGATTTTGGTGATTCAATAATGTTTACATGAGAGAATAAAGCAAAATAAGCCGCAATCAAATTTGAAAAAAAGTAGATGAAGCGGAACATGTTTTACCTCTCAAGTCTCAACCTTTTTTTGCTTTATATTTACTATTGTTCCCCTTTGGATTGATTGGTCAGAGGATTCATAGAATGCGTTATCTCATATTATCTATGTTTATTTGGATTTTTAGATTTGTAGACAGTAAAATGCATGCATTTGCTATCTATTAACTTAGATCATTTTCAATAGTTTCCAAAAAAATTGTTAAATTAATGAGTTTTCTAAGTGGCTCAAAAAGTTGGAAACATATTTCTTTGGGTGACTCTAGCTATTTTTAAAATCTCGCTCCTAAAAGATAGAAGACATTTTGCAGCGAGAATCTCGGGACTATTTCTAAATCACCCAACTATTTTATATTTTTCTCTTGTACATTTGCATTGGGAATCATATCCTTACTCCTTAGTACTCTTCCCACATCCTCCCATATCTAGATTGGTCGATTGATACACACGTGTATATTTCCATGCCATTGGATCGATTTTCCCAAGTGTGAAAGATTATGAGTTGTTGGAGAGCAAATTTTTTTCAACCTTGCCAAAATTCAAGATTGGGAGTGGGTTTTACAAACTCTTAGAGGCGCTTTTAGGGAGGTGTTGTTACCTAGATCCATCAACTATGAAAAAGTATAAATATATATGAGTTTCTAATCTTCTTATTAAATTGTTCATTGCAGGTCCGTCAGGATCTCCTCCCTCTCAAGTTGATTAGCTAACTAGATAGTCTTCCATTGACTATCATTAGTTAGATAATAAACCTAATTGGTCATCCCAGTACACTACCCATATAGTAAACTAAACCAATCTTCATCCAGGATCAAGTGGACGGAAATGATTATTACAACCCATAACGAGGTTCACATCACATTAAAAGGTACTTAAGTTTATAACAAGTTGTTCCACACTTAGTTCATTACACCAACATCACACAGTATGAGCGGAAGTCTTTTAGCGAAAGCAACATAAGTTTTTAATACAACACATGGGCGTGCCATTCTCCATGCATTCTACGTCAACAAAGGCGGTTTCTACCAATCACAGTGCGTTAGAGGATTGGGCGTGTAGAAAAAACCATAGGCTAGAGCGAGGGTGCACCAAAGCTCAACCAATTACAAGGTGAGTACTCAAATATACTCAACAGGGACTTACCCAATATAAATACGAGGATAATGCATTTTGTTTGTTAGCAAAGATTGCATTTGGTTTTTGCATAAAAGCTTTTATACATGAATGAAAAAATGTGATCTTAACAACTAGCAAGCGAAGCATAGTGAAGTAAATTCAAGCAATCATAGGAAATGGCTATAACACCCCATCCAAAAATCTATTTACAGTCTGGCTCCTTATGTGGAGCGGGCCCATATCATGCATAGTATAGCATCTCTCTTATACTTTTGTTCTTTCTTCGTGTAAAAGGCTTAACCAAAAAGGTACTAAGTTTGAGATGACAAGCACTATGAGCTGGTCCAAACCTATTGAAACAATAATAAATTGGGACTAATTCTACCTAAATACGACACATGGGCTACAATGGGCTGAAACCCAGAACATTAGTGGGCCAAGGTATTACATAATGGCATGCTCTCCTTACTCGATGGTCATGCTGATCAACCAAATTGTTCATGCATCATGTCCTCCATAAATGGCACTCACTACACTGAAAAAGGCACCCACTACAAACTGTCTATTTAACTAGACATTTTGCTCTCTCGAGATTGCACTACCATGTAGCCCTTTATGCGTGTTTGACATGTTTTGTTGCCTTCCATCATGATGTGGGATTAGATGAAACTCTGCATACAGTCCGTCTCTTAGCTATAATTCAATATTTTTTCATAGGCTCTCAAAAAGAAAGTTATTATGAGCTGAGATTTTAGAAAAACTGAAAATTGGTGCTGCCTATCAGATGGAGGATTGGTAAATGATGTGGGTAGTGGTGTAAAGCACAAGGACCGCACTGTTTTTTGTCAGGATGACCTAGAATGGTGGGGTGTTTTGCTGAATGATCCATGAGAAGCGTCACGCGTCCATCATCATAGCCGTTTGAGGTAGCAAGAATAAGGAAACTCGTAATGATGGCCTGCATATTTGTATCCCTACACCATTTTTACCTCGATCATACATAATACTTATTCAGTTTGCTTCTGTCATCCCACTTTCTAATTCATGTGGACTTACAAAACATTTAAATTTTTTTGAGAACGTGCTTAGCATGTGTTCCATTAAGAAAAGTCAAGTCAGAGATACAACTCCAGGTACCACACAAAATATTTAAATTGAAATGGGAACCTTAGACGTGCTCTGTTTCACGTGACAATGTTTTTTGCTAATCTACAAAATCTAGATTATAGCTATTGTGGGAGAGTGGGGCAACGCTTATGCTAGTGGCTACGGTGCTAAATGACCACAATGGTAAAGACAGGTACAACTGAGCAAGTGAGCATCACACTTGTTGTATTGGACTTACAACCGAAAATCTCGTCCTTAGTTTACGGAATCATTTCCCCTAAGTATTCTTCCATGCTCTTCATACTCGATGATCATGCTAGTCAGCTGCATGCTCATGAATTATATATGTCACTCACGACTAATGAATGCTAGTTTCTCTGCTTTCTCCTCCCGCGTTTCAGCACTGCATGAACAGCGACGTCCGTGGTCATCTACTCATCTGGCAGCCAAAGCGCGCTGTCCTATTCTTCCCGGCACCACGTGAGCTATGAGAGTCGTCGTTACAGCGGGCCGGGTCCCAGAGACGTTAGCACTAATCTTCACTTGCATGTCATTATCTTGCATATAGCAGGATCGAAGTTTTGGTAGTCATGCATTTTATTTTATTAGTCTTCATGCATGATCCAGTTTGTGGCTCGGCGTCATTGGTTGTGGTTGACGTCATTAGTTGGAGCGATTTGCAAAATGGAACTCGAAATATCGAGTTGTTTGCAGATTTGACAACTATCCATATTCACAGAACATGATGGACCCACTTGTCATCCAATTCAGTGTCATCGTAATCAAGGTCAATCTATCGAGTGTCATTTTGCAATTTTTTCTCATTGGTCATGGCATGCATTGAGTTACTCACATGCGCGTAGAGTCAGCTAGTAGTTTGTGCTAGTGTTCCATTAGCGAATAATTAAGGCGAAGCTAGCATCTGCATGCAAGGCCACGACGTGGAGGCGGTGTGGCTCGTGGTCATCTAATTGGAGCCCTTGTGGCAGACGTACGCGTGAACAAACAAGTGGACAGTTGGTGGAGCGCATGGCTTAGGCACCCACCGGTCGCATAGGCTAGTTACTAGCTCACTTTTTCAATATTGATAACTTTAAAGGCGCATAGCTCATAGTATGAATACGCTTTTACGTGATCTTAAAATGTGTGTATATATATGAGCCTAGTTCTTAATCAAGAGCTAATTTTTCCTCTCACTTCTATTAAAATATGAAAAACACTTCAAAGCTAACTTCATATGAGTCAGTCATTGTGCCCTCATGATCACGAGGCGTAGTTGTTGCTTGCCGTGGACTATCAGCTGGGCTTTAAAAGCCTTGTACTCTTTTTAGCTTCTCTAGTTGTGGTTTATCACTACTACACAATTTAATTTGTAGCAACACCTCTATTGTTGAGTTTATCGCTTCGACCCCATGTATAGTATACTTATTTACACTTCCGTCTTAAGCTTTGTGGAGAAGTGTTTGGAACCATAGTTAAGGATTATGAGTTGACCCAAGCGTATTTAAACAATCAAACTGGGACTAAATTCCATCGGAATAGACATATAAGTCACAATGGGATCAAACGGAGCATAAATGAGTTGAGGTATTACAGTGTCATGCTCCCTTATTCAATGGTCATCTTGATCAACCATATTGTTCATGCATCATGTCACTCCATAAGTGGTACTCACTACCACTCCCAAAGAAAGGTAGTCACTTTCTATTTGTCTATTTAACCGAACATTTTTGTGGCGGAAATCCGTCTAATCTAATACTCTCCC